CATTCTAGAGTACTCCGATGGATTTATATCCTCATCGGTTCAGGTATTCTCTCCAACAATGCCAATTGTAACCCATCCATGCCTTCCCAACCAATATTATTTTTGTCTAGGTCCTCATAAATTTTCCCCAGTGGGTCTACCCGATATGGTGAAGAACTTCTAAAGTTCTCCTGACATTTTGAGGGTTCTAGTGCAAAGAACAGCTAGATGGCTTAGAATGGCTAGCCGGGAGTCAGGAAGACCTGAGTTGAAATTTGGCGTCAGACTCAGCTGTGTGACCCTGGCAAGTTACTTAACCTTGTTTGCCTTATTTTACTCATCTGAAAATTGAGCTGGAGAAGGAAATAGCAAAATCCTCCAGTACTTTTGCCAAGAAAAACCCCAAATGGGGTCATGGAGAGTCAGTTGGACACGACTGAAAATGACTGAACAAAAAAGTGCAAAACTCTGCCTACCCATGTCATTCATCATTCTTGCCACTAGGCATTTTTTCTTCCTATTATATAATTCTTTGATGACATCTTGTGCTCCTATTTTTCTCTGGAATTCCTTATTAGTTATATGTCATAGACTCCTCACACCTAAAGCTTACTAAGACTTTTAGACCATGCCATATTTGTTTATGGTATGTAAATAAACAAACCAAGGGTGTTTTCAGGCTTTCCGTAAACAGTTCATTGGCCCTCTCCATTGCCTGCAATGTGATGTTCATTTTTACTTCTTTGGAAGCAGTTGTATTTTATGTCTTGCTGCCATAGACTGTATATGGCAGCAAGACATAACTTATTTAAAAACAGCAACAACACAGCAACCACATGAGATTGCCCTAAGCCTTTCAAAACATACCTTTCATGAGTTCATCCAAACTTAGTTAATTTATACTTAGTCTCTAAGATCTGTGGATATTTAAAAAATGAAGAGTCAACCTTTTAGGAGAATAGCATCACTTTCAGGAGAATAGGTATGTTTTCTAAATCAAAGACCAGCTGGATTTGTTCTTTAAATATAACAGAATAGTAACTTGCCCTGGATCAACCAAAGTCATCTCTGTCTTGTGGACTCTTATTTATTTAAAGTATATTTATTATATATATATAATATAGATTATGGTTATATAATGATACATTATATCCAAATATTATGTTTATATATATAGCTCCTCATCCCTTGAGGATGAAGACTGTCTTACATATCTCTGTATGACTAAAGTTTAGCTCAATACTTTGCAAATAGTTAGAATTCAATAAATGTCTGTTGATGTTGACCAACACTAAAAATATTATCTATACCAACAAAACCAATTAGAGTATTTAAGCAATTATCCACATCAATCCAAAAATGCTTCCCCATACTTATCTTTGTGACCCTAAATATTCAGATATTTATGGAAAATGTTCTGACTTGAATTTTCCACATGCTGTCTCCACTTTACTTGGCCAGGGTAGGTCTGATCTAAGAGTTTGGATGTTTTTCATTGTTCACCGAGGCCAACAGAAACACGTGTCAACACAATTGTGCCAAAACTTTTGCAGTTCTCTCCATTAAATGGTATATCTCATGATTGAGTGAAAAGAACATTGGATTAGGATCCACAGGACTAATGTGTGAATACGAGTTCTGCTACTTACTACCTGTGCAAATTTGGAATATCACTTAATCTCTCTGGGCCTCTATTTTCTTATCTGTAAATTGAGAAGGTTGGACTGGATGATCTTTATAGGTATGATTCTAGGACTCTCTCTCTCTCTCTCTCTCTCTCTCTCTCTCTCTCTCTCTTTCTTTCTTTCTTCTCCCCCAGCCCCTCCCCATGGCACTTTTTTTTAAAGCAATGTCTGGTACCTAGCAGTTGTAGTCAAAATTCATTGGGTCAGTGTAGTACATACAGTAGGAAAGCACTGAATTTGGAGTCAGAAGACCTGAGTTTAAATCCCACCTTGGTCACTTACTACTTGTGACTTTGGGCAAATTTGGAAAGTCACTTAACCTCTCTGGCCTTCAATTTCCTCATTTTTAAAATAAAGATATTGAATTAGATAACCTCTTTTGATATCCCTTCCAATGATAAATCTATTATCCTATGATCTATTCATAAAATAATTCAATTATTCATAGATCTGACCAAGTAAAATCCAGATCCAATTCAGTCAATAGTCAATAAATAACCAATAAGCATTTATTTATTAGTTACCCAGTATGGGCTAGGCATTGTGCTAAATGCTGGGGATACAAATACAAAAAGGAGAGATAGTCCCTGTCCTCAAAGAGTTTATAATCTGAAGGGAAAGGACAACAAACAAACAAGAAACTGGAAAGGAGGTGGAAAGGAGGTACCTGGCGTGGGGGCATAATGGAAAACACAAAGAAGAGCAAAATATGTGCAGCCAGGTGGAAACTGAGATATCAGTATGAAGTAGGAAGTTGCTTAATTATTATGTCAAGATAACTTATTGTAGACAATGTGAATAATTTAACCCTAAGAGGTCTATATCTGGAAGTGTGCAATAACTGTTTTGCTTTGTGGAGTGGAGGTGGAGATTGGGCCTGGCTATCTCACACAAGATAGATGCGTAGCTACTCACTGACCAATTTCACTATTGATTGGTATAGAGGTTTTGACCAGTTCTGTTTCCAACCTGGACAGGTCTGTCCCTCTTTCGGCAGCCTTTTGTCTCCCCATACTGAGTGCTGAACTTAGTGTGGATACCATATTGGTTGGTTTTAGCTCTACTGTAGCTCCGATCTGCTAAGCTCAAGTGGTCCAACAACCTCAGCCTCCTCCAGGAGCAGGGATCACAGGCTCACCATCTAATGGGTTTTGAATGAAAGGGAAATAGTTCATCCCCTTTAGTGTCTCCAAATTTCTGACAGATCAGGATTCTGAAATGAGAAACAGGAATTTTCATGAATTCCTCAAATCCTAAGTTATTCTATATTTTCCCTAACATTTTTTGACATGTTTTAAAGCAACAATTGACCATAATCATAAATGGTAAATCAGTTTTTTATAAAAGTTTCAGAGATTGTCTGTAAAAATATATATAATGATAAATGTACGGTTTATTATTATTATGAACCAATATTTTATGTCAGTGATTTAAAGCACATCTGGCAATGAGCTGACTGATTTCCTTTATCTTTCATAAAATGTTTCCAACATTCTTCATACTCTTTATTCATTATTATGAATATCTAAAAAATTGTTTAAGCAATATTGTCAAGATAATAAATATGGGTGCTGGGAGGATAGTGATACTATCAAGAGAAATGGGAGAGTTTAGAGGAGAGTGGGTTTGGAGGAATGTGAATTGGGTTTTGAATATGTTAAGGGTCAGGTGCCAATTGTGTATCAAGATGGAGACAAATGTCAGCAGACATTGGTAATGTAGAATGGAGAGATTAGTGCTGGATTTATAAATTTGGAAATCCAAAATCATAGAGGTGATATTTGTACCATTGGGGGTTGATGATATTTATGATGGAGAAATGGAGAGAGAGAGAGAGAGAGAGAGAGAGAGAGAGAGAGAGAGAGGAAGGAAGCAGGACCTTACCTTGGAGAATGCCCATGCTTGGTGAACAGAAAGAAGAGAAGGAGTGATCAAAGGAGAGTAATCTAAGAGAAAGAAAACAAAAAAAATGTGTTGATGAATCATTTAAAAAACAAACAAAAGTGAGCAAAAGAAAGTTGAGAATAGGACACAGACAACTCATTTAATCATGTTAAATTTGAAATATAAATAAACAAGTTACGTGCAGTAGAGATTTGTTATTTCATATTTTCCTCTTTTCCTCTTCTTTGTGTGTGGAAATATTCATATTTGCTGATGCTTGTCAGTTTCATAGTAAAAGGGAAATTTTTCTTTTTTATTTCTTTTTTTTTCTTTTTTTCTTTGGCTAGGCAATGAGGTTAAGTGACTTGCCCAGGGTCAGACAGCTAGTAAGTGTTATGTGTCTGAGGCCAGACTCGAACTGAGGACCCCCTGACTCCAGGGCCGTTGCTCTTTCCACTGCACCACCTACCTGCCCCAAAAGGGAAATTTTTCAAAAAAAAATTATTATAAAACTAAGAGGAGAACGAAAAGACAGTCGTGACATGGAGACAAATGGTAGAGAGAGAATATGAGAGAGAAGAGAGTAGACAGTATCAAAAGCTACAGAGAAGTCACATAGAATGAGGAGAGAGAAAAGACCGTTGGATCTAGCAGTTAGGAAATATTTTTAACCTGGGAAGGAGCTCCAGTCAGGTGGTAGGATCAGAATTCAGAATGTTATGGGATTGAAACATGAGTGGATTCATGGATTCCCATGAGTGGGGGCAGTCTTTTTGTGTAAGGCTACCTTCCAACCCCAAGGGTAGATAGATCATAGTGATGCAAAAAACAAGGAGGAAGAAGAAGAAGAAGGAAAAAGTGAGTGTGTGAGGGGGTGGTGAGGAAATGGAGGCAAGTCTTTTCGCTTTTTGTGCACCACCTTTTACTCATTAAAATGAGAGAGTTGAATTAGATGCTATTTTAGGTGCCTTCCAGATCTTTACCTTTGATTCAATCAGTTGCTCTTAATTCCTGTCTTTGGTTTAACTTAACTATTTTTTTTTTCCAAAAGAAAATGCAGTGTTGGGACCTACATACTTTAGTTATTTCTACATTCATCTTTCTAATTTCAAGAGTGTAACATATTCAGTTAACTGCAAATGGTAAATCTGCCACATTTCTTTCTCTGTTCACTCACAGTTACTATGGATAGTAGCTCCAGGATTTCATTCTCAACAGAGCAATAACCCTTTTGTTTGGTCCGTGTGTCATGGATAGAAGACTAAGTATGAAGTTAATAACTTTATTCCCAGTCTATAAAATAATATGTGATAGTTGGCTAAAGACCCTAGATAAGTCTCATAGAGTCAATGACTCAGCTGCCTTGAATTTGGTTAATGACAAGTCTCTAGCTTCTAAAATCGAGGCGTTTATTGCTGTGTACTACTTTCGAAATCTACTTTTTCCCTTTAGATCACTGTTACAGATGAGGAGGTTAGTAATCCATCCTTTTTAGATCTGGTGAGGACTCCCCAAATGAGGAAATGCACACTTATTCTAATGTTTGCTTGGTAAGTTCCAATTGCATTGAATTTTAAAAAGCCTTAAGTGTGTTAATTTTACAAAGACCCCTTGCCTTCACCTCTGATTGAAGTTCGTCACTTACTTGTCTCTCTCTGGTTTTTCTTGATGTTATTCCAGGTTCACAAGTGCAGTGGTTTACCAAGGACTTGTCATGCGCCTGGGAATTATAGGTGGAAACCTCTATATAGATTTTTTTATCTCAGGAGTTGTGGAATTGCCGGGAGCTCTCCTGATTTTACTAACAATTGAGCGTGTGGGACGACGCCTTCCCTTTGCAGTGAGCAATATAGTAGCTGGAATTGCATGTCTTGTTACGGCATTCTTACCAGAAGGTAACTACTTTTCCAGAATTTATCAGTGAGCAGAATTCTTAGGAGCCTATGACAGAAAAAGCAAATATTGATAATGTAATAGCCCCTTTGGATTATAGGATCATAAATTTAGACCTGGAAGGGATTTTAGTGATTGTATAATCCAACCCCATCATTTTACAGATGAGAGGAGCCAGAGAGAGCCAGTGTAGTAAGTAGTCAAACATGGATTTGAACCCAGGTACTCTAATTTCAAATATAATATTCTTTCTGCTGGGCTATGTGATCAATGATTTCACTTGGCTTCACTGGCTTAAAGTCTGCTAAGTATATGCTTATCGATAAAAGAAATAGTTATTATAGTATTTGCAACTGAATCCTACTATAATTATGCTTAGCAGAGCTTGCTTTGAAATTCTTACAGGCACTAACATTGAAACACTAGCCTAACAGGAGCTGGAAGAAAAGGTATCTTAAGCCAAAAGAAATCTCTGCTCTAGGAGAAAAAAAAAAAGATTAATCATTTCCTTATTGTAGGAAAGGTGTGAATCCAGTGAAATTACAAAGTAGGTTCAGTTCTGCTTTTGGTTCATGGAGTTAAAATGCAACAGAAGAGCAGATGATGGACAACCAGGTGGCCAGGGTGCAATGGTGGAATGTGAAACATGAGTAGGATCAACTAGATATAGCAGGCCACATGACGTAATCACCAATCAGGCCAAAACAGCTCCATGGAGGGCTCCAGAAGTGAGAAGCACAGTGGCAGGCAGGGCAAACATCAGGAGGATAGATGGAATCAGGAGAAGGGATGGGATGGCATTGGATAGGATAATGTAACAGTGCTTTAAGTATTGAGTAGCCTCTTGACAGAGTCAGTTCCAAAAGTATCCTCAGAGGAACATTCATTAGCTAACTTTCACTCCAGTAAACCAAACATTTGTGGTCAAAAAAAGGTTCTACGCCCGCACAAAAAATTTTTCTGCCTGTATTCTCTCCCCAAATTAACTGGTTTTACATTAGCCCTTATTCTTGAGTCCTGATTGAAATTTGAAAAGTAAAGAATTCTGCTTATTTGTATTATTTTGTCATCTCAATCCCAATTTACTTAAGGTAACTCTAAAACCAGCACTTATTTTTATATTACACTAATTTATTTCTACCTGGGAAAATCACCTTTCACTTTCAGAAAAATATCAGAAGCAAAATAAAATGTACATTTTAGACATTTTTATTAACTTTAGTAAGATTATCCTAGTTGTTTGTTTGTTCGCTTATTTAATCCTGGGGGGAGGGGGCAAGGGGGAGAAAATCCACACCTGTATCAGTGTTGAGAGATTCCCAAGGAGGAAACTGCTTTGGCTAATGCTGTGCACTTCTGTGATGTACACTCTACCCAGCTTTCTTTCAGATCCAATTGCAGATGACAGTTTCAGATGAATTATAAAGCTGAGGTCATTTTCAATCCTGCATTCATTTTAACAACAACAATAATAATATAGCTAGTATTTATATCATGCTTTACATATTGATCAATTATTTTCTAATAATCAAGGTGCCTGGACAAATTTTCATTTCCATCTGGACATCACACTTCTCTACCTTTTTTTGAAGTAGCTTAATGTGGACACAGCAATCATTTTCAACCCAAGCACTAAATTCTTCTGGACTGCTGTGGTGACTTCCATGGATGCTCAAAGTTTCCTATTTTTACTCTGAGGGCTTTGAAGGTCCCATCCAATTTTAACATTCCATGTCTTAAGGTCTTTTTCATCTCTCTAAGATTCTACAATTCCATAATTATGTAATTCTCTGCAAAATGTGAAGCCAGTTATGAAAGTAAAAAATAAGGTGTGATATAAGGAAAAGAAATCTCCAAATAAATTCTTCGTGGAAGGGAGAAAAATCTCTCTAAATCCTTGAGAGCTAGGACTATCTCATTTTTTATTTTTGTATTCCTCATGCTAACATAGGGAGAATCTATGGAGAGCATACTAACCAGTGTTTACTGACTTGGTGCGGGTTGTTCATGCATATTTGTACATGCTCACATGCAAGTTCATACATCTAAAACATGCACAGAAAGAATCTAAGTATCAAACCTGGGTAGTAAAGTAATTTCCCCTTCAGCAGCTAGTGTCCACTCCTGGATGGCATTAAGCCAGCAGAGATTGTGAAATCTGGGCACCGTGCAGGGAGCTTTGGCAACAATATCCACCCTTCATTATCCTGCACCTGGCTCTGGGCACCACCTGCTCATTGAAGGAATGGGTTGCACTAGCTTCCTCGTCCTCCTATCTGGCTTTAATGCAACAGTAGAGCATGAATAACACACATGTTTACAACTATTCAGTGCTGGAACAGATGGCAGTCTAGCAAGCGTCAATTCTGTTCTCGTGTTCCTCTCTGCTTTCACTGTTAATGCAAGAGTTTATCTGGGGGGAACAGATATAGATAAATATTCAGTGAGTTTACACTGAAAGTATATGCTAATACTCAAAACCATTATCTTGAATTAAAGTAATAGGCTTTTCTCATTGTTCCTCCTAACTAGATTGTTACTTTGTTTATTGACTTTCAAGACTTTCTCCCCTCATTTGCTGAATATTTACTAACAGAATGAACTTGAATTCACTGAGATAGATTCTCTCCTAATATTCATTCATTCATTCATTCATTCATTCAGTGAGCATTTGTTAATCTCCTCCAATGTGCAAGGCACTCTAAAATCATTGATCATACAAAAACAAAATGGTCCCTGACTTAAGAAGCTTTTGTTTCATTTGAAGGACACAAAATGGATAAAAGTATGTAAATTTACAATCTATACAAAGAAAATACAAAATTATGTCAGAAAGAATGCCCATTTCTTTGGTAGTGAGAAAGCCCATTTCTTTGCTAGTGAAATGCACTTCCCTGAATGCCTAAAACTTTTTCAGATCTCAAAAGTTAATGTCCCAGTGAATGAAGAAATTGAAAATTTCATTTCAAAACAAATGTATTTTGTGTTCTGTCATTTTTATTTCTTGTTGAAAACTATATGCCACAGAACATGTTACTGTGCACTCAATCCTTTGTCTTTTTCATAAGCCATATTTAATCGGGCTTTACAATTGAAAAAGTATCTTCCTGCCAATCACTGTGTTGCATGCAAGTATTATTATCCATTTTATAGAATTATTGAATGTGTACATTATATAATAATGATAAGTGTATGGTATGTAATTGATAATACACAGTATCCATCTGAGCCATTTTGTGGCTGTGGCTCAGAAAACCTTGACCAGGGTCATAGAGCTAGTAAGTGGGGAAGCTGAGACTCGAACCCAAAGCTTCTGAGGCCAATTCCAATTGGCTTTCCACTATACCACACCGACTACCGATAGCAGCCATCTTTTTTTTTTCAGAGCACTTAGCAAATTTATGTTGCTGAATAAATGGGAAAGAGTAAGAGCGGCAGTAGCTGTTAATAAATAAAAAGTTACTCCTCTAGAATGTTCTGTAAATATAAGATCATATGGAAGTAGGCAAAATGTTTAGAAACCTTTTGGTAATTACAAGCTTCTAGAGGCAGGGGCAGCTAGGTGGTGAAGTGGATGGAGTTCCAACCTTGGAGTCAAATCCGACCTCAGACACTTGACACTTATTAGCTGTGTGACCCTGGGCAAGTCACTTAACCCCAATTGCCTCACAAAAAAAAAAAAATAAATAGATGGATAAATAAATAGGAAAAACATACTTCTGGAGGGCAGGTGATGTGTTGTATTTATCTGACCTGACACACCTAACAACATCTAGCACAGTGCCCTGAACATAGAAGTTACTTAATAAACATTTCTTGAATGAATGGCTTATTTTGGGAGTGGAGGAAAAGGAGCATGATTTCACTTGATTTAACTGCCTACATGGGGCCTCTAGGTGGTGCCATAGTGCATAGAGCACCAGGCCAGAGTCGGGAAGATTCATCATCCTGAGTTCAAATCTGCCCTGATACTTACTAACTTTGTGACCCTGGGCAAGTCATTTAACCCAGTTTGCCTCAGTTTCTTCATCCGTAAAATTAACTGAAGAAGGAAATGGTATCTTTGCCAAGAAAACCCCAAATGGAGTCATAAAGAGACAGACCTGATCAAAAAACATCTGAACCAACTGCCCACACATTTTCCCTGCCTGGAATTCAATGAATTAGCTGGTTGTTTTTGTTTTTTAATTTTCTGGAACATTTGGGGCAGTTTTTTGTTACTTATTCAAAATACAGAGTACCCCCCCCCAAAAAAAGGATAGGGATATTTCTCTGGTGGCCTGAGAAGTTGCTTCATTGTGTGTATATGTGTATGGGGGGAGGGGGGAGAGAAAGAGAGAGAAAGAGAGAGAGAGAGAGAGAGAGAGAGAGAGAGAGAGAGAATGTGAATATTATTCGGCTCATTTGACTTGACTTCATGGTAGGAATCTACCTGGCCTGCTGAGTGAAGGTATTGGCACAGTGGAAAGAGTGCTGAACTCACAGTCATGAGACCAAATCCCAGCTCTGCCACTTCCTAGCTGTATGACCTTGGGAAAGTCACTTAACCTCTCTGGGCTTCCCAGTTTCCTCATTTGTAAAATGAGGGGGTTGCACCAAATAGATTCTAAGGCTATTTTAAGCTCCAGTTTTGTGAGACTGATCCTGCGAGGTGGTTTCTTAAAAAATGAAATCGAGGGGAAAGCAGAGCAGAAGAAAGTAAAAGGATAGCACAACGTAAAGTAAGGAATGGCAACAGCCAGCATATTATTTTGAAAATCCTATGTGAAGGACAACATGAATACCTTTAGGAACTGGAAAAGATTTAAGACATCTAAGGCAGAACTTTGCATTCTTTACTCTGCTGTTTTATCACAGCTCTGTTCTGCCATGTCACCTATGGTGGGAGGGGGGCATTTATCCCATTAAATCCATATATATACACACAGACACATATATGCATGCATGTATGTATGCATATATACATATACATAATATACATTATACACACATTTACAGGGCATTTTGGCTACTGTTTGATATATTATATGCACTTCAAAAACTAGGGAATTGCTTTACTGGTGTCCAAAAGCCAACAGAAAGGGAGAAAATGGGCAAGTTGACTTGGGTAACCAGTGGGGCATTCTAATTCTTTATAGTCATTTCTCTATTAGCCCATTCATATTCTGGGGTCCATCATTTTGTTTTCCTCTTCTTGGCCCCCCTGGGATGTACAGGATTTAGCACTGACCCTTCAAGTCCCTTAAACCCCTGACCCAGTCTGAACAAATGGACTCTGGACTCTCTCAAAGGGATCCAATCCTTTTGAATTTAGCACAGCCCTAGTTGTAATCCTTTTTGATAAAAGGGTCTTTGCTTCTGATACAGGAGCACCATGGAACTTCTGTAAATAATTTTTGTATAAATCTGTATAAATTTGGTGTGCACTTAAAAAAAAACCCAATGCATTACAAAAACACACACACACACACAAACTAGGGGTTGTGCAAGGGACCAAACAAATGCATTTTATGGTTAACTGGTAATTACATTAAATCCCTAACATTTCTCTCTGTATTTCCAGGAATACCATGGTTGAGAACCACAGTGGCTACTATAGGAAGACTGGGAATTACCATGGCCTTTGAAATTGTTTATTTGGTGAATTCAGAATTGTATCCAACGACCTTAAGGTAATTACAATGTGTAATTCCCAGTTTCCTTCAGGTTGGACTTCAACCTTTTGAAAGAGGCTCTTTAGCTCAGTAATCTGTTGGCTCATGCCTAGCTTCAGGGCAATACTCTCAAAGTACCTAACCTAGAATTTGCCTGTGACAAAGCTCATGTGGCCCACAGCCTCTGTTTCATTTGTTTCATACACTATGTCTTTGATGGAAGACATCGTTTTGAAAACGATGGAAACGTTTTCTGCCTAAAGGTTCTGGCACATAACTTAGTTATCAAGGAGTCCCATTCAGCTAAAGTTCTCTGGCATAGTTAGAGAATAGTCTGTTCATCATTGCAAATATTTATTCACCTCAATTTGTACTCATTTTGTCATCAGATGTTAATTGAATTAAATACCTAAGCTAGGTTCCTGTCTGATGAGACTTAAGAATACCATTTGTTACCTCAATTTCTATTTGTTGCAAGTGATGAGAAACAGATGGCTTTTGTGCTGTGTATTTTATAGGAGGATAGTTATAGATGGGAGGGATGGAACTTTTTACATTTTTTCTTACTTGATACATTAGTTTCCCAGTAATGGATATCAACAGCTTTGAGTGGGAGGAAATGGGTCTGAACTGTGGCTATTCAGATACATATCCTACATGCCAAATGACACTCAGTGCACACTCACTGTTAAAGTGGAGTCTGCCTTGTAGAAGATGTTGGCATCACCATCAATCAAAACACTTTTACTGCATAAAGTTTTGAATTCACTTACAAGTAGGAATTCATGATGCAACAAAAATTGTTCTTTCATCAAAGCAATAAAAAATATTAGCTGGGGTGGGGGTGGGGATTAGCTCCTTACAGAGCAAAATAATCGTGGAGGGATAGAGGATGAGGAGCAAAGAAGGTGGTGGTGATTAAAGTTTAAAGTTATTATGAGGCAGAAATAACCTAAATGAAAGCAAGCCAGCTCCATTATGGCACTGAAATATATTATCAGCCAAGTTTGGAATGCTTAAAAGTCATTATATACTTTCAGAAATTCAAAATATCTCCTAATGTTAGTACAATATTTTAAGTTTTAAACAGTTGCATTTACTTCATCTAAAATTAATTTGCCAAGAGGAGTATCAATTCAGAGTACATGCATTTTTCCAAGTTTCCTTCCAGTGTTGGTCAGTTTTATTTTTCCTAATGCAAAGCCAAGCTGTGGTTGCATTACATCCGTGACCCATTTAAGACTTTCTCCTACATGGAAAGATTGGAAAACATCATTGCACCCCAACCAAGGGAGAGTATGTGTAATGCTCTCAAGAATAATATCATTGATATTTGAGTCTTTACCTAACCCAATCATAAAAATAGTGAAAGAAGCACATATGTGTGTGTGTTTGTGTGTTTGATTTGTGTTGAATCTGGATTTAGTTAATTCTTCACTAAGAATTTCATCCCAGAAAACAAGAGGGAAGCTTGACGTATTCTTTTGGCAAGTAAGACTACACATTCATTTAAAATAGCCTAATCAAAGACTGGCTTTAGTAATATAAGTGCAAGCATTTTAGAAAGTACAAAAGGACTATACAGATGTATATGGTTATTACAGTCACATCTCACTACTTCAGAAGTCACTTATCTAAGATCCTTAATGAGTTAAAAATTTCTCTAAGCAACCAAAATAGTTATCACATAGTCCATACTCGTTACTCATAGAAAAACCCCTCAGGTCCTCACTCAAAGGCAATTTACCCTTATTTGAATTTTACATTATTTTACTTTTATGTAGTTACAGGCACTGTCAATATGGGAGAGACTGTACACTCCATAGCATTACGTTTCTACTCCTTACATTTCTCCTTCTAGTATGGAGACAATAGCTATGGCTCGGCCCTAACGACTGAAAGAGACAGATGTCTATTTTTTTTTTAATGACTTCCAAAGGAAGAAGACATAGTATATAAAAAGCACTGAAGTTTGAAGTTTGGGGACATGTAGTGTAAGTGTAAATCCCTCCATATAGCTCCATCGCCTTAGAGAAACAGCCATGGTATAGTAGAAATAATCCATAATGATAGCTGACATTTATACAGCGTCTTTAAGTTTGCAAAGTACTTTGCATGTGTTGTTTCATTTGATCCTTATAACATGTCTGTTCAGTAGGTGCTGTTATTGTCCCCACTTGATAGATGAAGAAACTGAAAGGTTAAGAGAGATCAAGTGGCTTGATTAATATCCCACACCCAAGTAAGTGCCCAAGGTAGGGTCGGAACTCAGGTCTTCCTGACTCCAAGCCCACTGCTCTATCCATTAAGCCACCTTCCTCCTTCTTGAAAGAGTCACAGGAGAGCTGAGTTTCCAACTTCTAACACTAGTTGTGGTACGGGAGAAAGAATGTTCTCTCTGGAGTCAGAGGATAGCTTCTGTGATCTTGTGCAAGTCTTTCCAAGGCTTCTTCAATTTCCTTAGCTATACAATGAGGTTGTTAGACAAGATGATCCCTGAGATCCAGATCTAATTCTATAATTCTATGATGCACAATGGATAAAGTGCTGGACCTGGAATTAGGAAGACCTGAGTTTGAATCCCACTTCAGACACTTACTAGCCATGTGACCCTGAGCAAGTCACATAACCTCTGTTTTTCTTGGTTTCCTCAACTGTAAAATAGGAATAATAATAGCACCTCACGAGGTTCTTATGAGGATTAAATGAAGTATTATTTGTAAAAAGCATTTTGTATAGTGCCTGGCACTTAGTAGACACCATATAAATGCTTATTCTCTCCCTTTCTATCATCATGAGAAAGTCATTTTGGTTGTCTGAGCCTCAGTTTCCTCATCTGTAAAATGTGGCTTATAATTTCTATAGTATCTAAGGGATTTTGTGAGTCTCAAATGAGATAAAGAATATAAAGTACTTAGTAAACTAAAATATCCATTATAAATAAAAATTTTTGTCATCATCACCACCACCATTGTCACCATCATCATCATCATCAGAGGACAAAAGACAATGTTGCACAGTCAATGGAGAGCAGGTTTTAGGATTAGGAAGATTTCAAGTCCCATTTCTGACATATATTGGCTATGTGACCATGGGCAAGTCACTTAATATCTTAATGCTCTCAACCAGTCCTCTAAGATCAGAAGTTGTAAGACAGTTGCAGCTCTGCATTGGTAAGGCGAGTTCTTCACCAGGAATTCCATACATATACCAATGAAATCACAGGTTCATTTCTTTTGAAAAAAACAGAGCTTTGTATCTTCTGTCTACTACAAGAGGCTCTGAAAGATGTAGAGGTAGGGCCTGTAGGACAACCTTAGGAGGCAGTGCCAGGGCAGATGGTAGTAATGCCTGGTGGTCCTTCCTATCATCAGGAGGAATGGAGTTGGTGACTGCTCTCATCTAAGCTGTGTAAGCAGCCCATTCAGGTTTTGGGTAGTGGGGCTGAAGAAGGGGACCAGGGCACAAGTAGAGGAACAGAATGTTCCCTGGTGGTGATAATGGGGCTTCCCACTTCCTGGGCATCCTAGATGGGTTCTAATGTTAAATGAGGTGTTACTACATCATTATGACTGAGTTGATTTATTACTTGTTTAGATTCAGCCTTTTCAGTTTCTCTCTTTATGAAATACTATCATACTGAACTGAAACTCTGACTATGTAAGTCTTATTTAAATTAAATGTTCCACCCTGTATTTATAACCTTTAGGGCTCAAGTTCTTTTCTGATGCTGGAGTATACTTTGAAATATAAATATTGCTACTTTTCCCTCCCTCCTCCTCCCAATACCCCAAAAGGTTCAGACAGCTGTTTCTGACATTCCCTGTGTGGTTAGTTAAGATTTATTGACACATTGGGAGCATATTAGTTTATTATTCCCAGTCTAGTCATCGCCTTGAGTTTGAAATCACACCTCTTCTTAGGGAAAAAGATACAATGATGCAGGCTATAATCACTCTGCTCACCCCAATACTATCAAGTAAAATAATGTGACTTTTCTTTCAAGCACCAGTGTTTTTCAGAGCTAGCCTGAGTGGCTAGATAAATGTCAAATGATTTGAAATATGAATCAGGTTTGCCCTTAAATCTGAGTGTAAGCCAATCACTTGCTAAAGTGAATTTTAAAATGTATTCAAAATTTTCACAAACATAAAAATGTTGAGAATGTTATCCTCAGACATAGCAATAATGACAATTTATTTCTGTAGAACTTTAAGGTTGACAAAGTGCTTTTCTTACTACAACCCTAAAGTTAAGTTCTATTATCCCCACATCGCATATAAGGAAACAGAAAACAGTGACCTGATCACATTGATGTCAGAGATGCAATTCAGACCCAGGTCTACTGACTCCCAAATGCAGAATTCTTTCAGTATACTGGTAGGGTAGAATGTAGCTTTATATCTTTTATATAACTTATCTTTTATACAGAAATAAGAACTAGACTTATGCTATCTTTTTAATCCCAGCCAGTTGTCTTACAGATATGGTGGTCATAAGCTGGACAAAGTGAGTACATTTATAGGTTGGTGCAAGTCTGTCCCCGATACTGTAAAATTCTCAGTGCTCATGCCTCGCTTGCAGTGAGCTAATAATAGCATCCTGATAACAAAAAGCACAGTCTCTCATATTGAACAGGGCAGTGAACCACAGGAAAGGCATTCCATTCTGAGCAATGTTATAGTCTTTGCTACCATCACACTGATACATTCAGTTAATTGCAGAATTTTAGGGTTGGTAGGGACCTCTTGCCTCCATTTAATCTAATTTATATCAAAAGCAAATCCTTAGTACCATATTACTAATGAGTGGTCATCTAGCCTGTGCTTGAAGGTCTCCAATGAGAGGCAAGTCATTGCCTACTGATGCAGCCCATTCCAGTTTTGGTTAGCTCTAATTGTCAGGAAGCTTTTCCTTCCATTAAACCTAAATGCAGCTCTTTAGAGCTTCTACCTTCTGCTCTTAGGTCTTCCTTCTGAGGTTAAACAGAATAAATATAATCCCTTTTCCAAATTACAGTTTTTCAGATATTTGTATTCTTGTAATCAGGTTCTGCAAGCCTTCTTTTCTACAGGCTGAACATCCTTATTTACTTCAACCAACCCTTGCATGCCATGGCTGTTTATCATTCTGATTACCCTCCTCTGGAAGTTCCCCTGAGTGTTACCCTATCTGGGACAGAAGCATGCTGTTATGCAGCAGTGCTCAACCAGAGAACCAAGAACAGAGGGAATTGTGGCAAGGTGTCTGCCTCTGTATGGGATTGTACCAAACCAGAAGGAAGGGACTTGCAATCCAAGAATCCACTTCTACCCCCTTAAGGCCATTTAGGTCAGGGACTGAGGCTGATGAAAAGTGAATTCCCTAGCATGGGAGGATGCTGAAGTCTAGCCCTTAGGGCATTGGCCCTAAAAGGGGAGGGAGTCAGAAAACGAGAAACAGGGAAATATATGGGGGGAAAGTGAAATTTCCAAACATCTAAGGAAGAAGAAAACTTGGTTAAAAACCTAGAAAACAAGCAGATAAATCAACAGAGATAATATTAATAACAAAAGAGAAGATGGACTCCAGGACATCTAAATGAGTTCAAACATCTCTGAATAAATATTGTAAGACAAAGAATAATGAATCACCACCTGCTAAGGAAGATCATCCTGTGAATTCCCAAGAGATCATAGAACCATAGCAAGATATTCCTGAATGATGCAATAAAGAAATAAGAAGTGTGAGAGATTCTATAGCCTACAAAGTAGAAATAATTGGCAAAACAGAGAAACTTGATTCACAGGGGTACATCTCTCCAAAGAAATAAAAGAGAGAACAACTAGTTGGGAATACAAACACATAGAAGTGAAGAACAATCTGAAAGAAGTTTAAAAAAGGAATAATATTAAAAGAACTCATGATCTCTGTAAAAGTAGAACAAATTGATCTTGAAGACAGAATGCATAAAGAGAATTAAGGATTATAAATCTTTGAGAAGAATACAAGAAGTCAAATAACCTGAACATTATAATACAAGAATACTGCCTAGAACTTCTGAATACTGAAAACAAAGTGCCAATTAAAAGAATTCACAGATCACCACCAGAAAAATCCTATGCTGCAAATTCTAAAACATAGTTGTTTACATTTAACAATTCTAACGACAAACTACAAATACCACAAGAAACCAAGAAAAAGTCTGTTAAATATAAATAAAAAGAAATGTGAATAACACAAGACTGTGCTTTGCTAGCAGCAGAAACAGCAGAAGGAAATGGAATATGTTCTGAAGATCAAAGGAGCTCAAGATGTAACTCATAGTGATATGTCCTGCTAACCTGAGCCTAACCATCAATGAAAAAAGACAGATATTGAATAAAAGAGAGGCATTTGAAGCATACCAAAACTTTGGTGCAGACAACTGAATACAATTATCCAGCTGTGGTCTTACTAGGGCAGAAAAAGTATGATCGTTACCTTCTTGCTCCTAGAAGTTATTCCCCTGAGTGCAGCCCAAGATTACCTTAATTTTTTTTTTTTTGCTGCCATGTCACACTATTAACTGATATTAAGCTAGCAGTAAAGATTTTTTCCTGATAAACTGGCTGTACTTATACCCCAAGACATAAGAATAAAGTTTTATACTTGCATTTATTACTACAAAGGTCATCTTGAAACTTTTAAATTTTTTTGCATTAGCACTGCTTTTAAATTTCACATGTTATATGTAAGGTCATTGTCATCTCATTTGCTAACCAGATTGATGTATTGATGCTTTAAAATTGCATTATATAAATTTAACCAACAAATCATGATTTCTTGATAAGAGTAGAATGTTGGGCCAAATCCATGAAGATGAAAGAATAACTTTCTTAAATCAGTTATTAAGCACTGTTACTTCTTAAGCTCTCCGTTACCTTTGGTATCGATAGATATAATAATAGTCGCAGACTTAGAGTTGGAAGGAACCTTAAAAATCATGTTCAACACCTTCATTTTATACATGTGGAAATTGAGGTACAGAAGGAATCTAGAGTCTAGGGGCCTGTGTTGGAATCCTGGATATACTATTTACTACCTTTGTGACCTTGGTAAAGACAGGATTATACTAGTTCTACAATTTCCCAGTCTAGTTTTCTTTCTAATATATTAAAGTGTGGTTGGTGTGTGTGTGTGTGTGTGTGTGTGTGTGTGTGTGTGTGTGTTTATCTCCTAAAAGGGAACTAATAGATCATCAATTCAAGCCTCTCATCTCACATATGATGTTCCCAGAAGTGACTTTCCTACAGTCAGACACATAGTAAAAAGGGTCAGGATTCACACTCAGGTCCCCAGATATCAAATCCAATCCTCTTTCATATGTGTGGGTGTGGGTGTATGTATGTATATATGTGTATGTATGTGTGTATACATATGTAGACACGTGTGTGTGTTGTGATGCAGTAGATAAGCTCCGGGTCTGGAGTCAGGAAGATTCATCTTCTTGAGTTCAAATCCATCCTCAGATACTTACTAGTTGTGTTATACTGCGCAAGTCACTTAACCCTGTTTGTTTCAGTTTCCTCATCTATAAAATGAGCTGGAGAAGGAGAAGGCAAACCACTCCAGTATCTTTTCCAGGAAAACCCCAAGTGGGGCTACAAAGAGTCAGACACAATTGAAACAACTGAACAACAACAACAAAATTGTATGAGTACATTATTTAACTTATTTAGAAAGGGAGTTATCATTTGTAACTCAAAATAAAAATGCTCAAATGCTATAGTTTTTAAGAAAGCTATAACTCTACAATATGAAGGTGGTAAAATGTGAGAGTAGAATAATACCAGCAGGAAAAATACATGCCTTTCATTGAAGAGTAGACCATGAGAACAATAAGGAATCGAAGAGATATAGCCATGGGCAGGTTGTAGGATCTAATAGAAGGCTTATACTGCAAGTACCTGACTTCTAATCTGTGATGCTAATCAGCAGGATTAATTTCAGTTAAGTCTTTTGACCTCTCTTGACTTTAGTTACCTTATCTTTATAAATTGCAAGCTAGCGCTTGCCTTCCCACACAGGATTGCTGTCAGGATAAAACTAGATTAATTGGTATGAAAGTGTATTTCAGAATTTAAATTACTCTGTGAATATAAAATAGTTCTTTGATTTTTTATTACTAATACCATTCACTTTTCATTTTCTTGATTTTGCCATTGCCTTGGTCATTAAAGAAAAAAATGTTTTTTTTTTTCCTTTGTAGAAACTTTGGTGTTTCGTTGTGCTCAGGATTATGTGATTTTGGTGGTATCGTAGCTCCATTCCTGCTGTTTCGGCTATCAGCCATCTGGCTAGAACTACCTCTTATCATTTTTGGTAAGAATTTAACATGTCTCTTTTAAATATGATAGTTTTCACTGGAGAGTTAACCTGATATAATGGATAGAGTATTGAATTTGGATTCACAGAGATCTGGGTTCAAATTTTGCCCCTAACATTTTCTACTTGTGTGACTAAGGTCAAACCCTTTAACCTTTGCGAGTTTCAGTTTCTGTGGGAATAAAAATAACTGTACTTCCTACCTCATGGAGGATTGAATTAGATAATATATAAAATGCTTTGCAAGCCTCCAAATGCCATTCAGATGTCAGCTATTATTATTAATAGAACTCTAAATTGACTCTTAAAATTGTTATTGGTGGGATCCATTTAGTCTTCTGCCTTTGCTTGTTCTGTTTTCGAGGAGCAGCTATAGCACAGTAAAATTTTGACCCATAAATGCAGTTCTCCTACAAGATTCTGTTTTATTTGTTAATTACTTATCTTTAAAAGATTTCTGAGGCAAAACCAAAGTGGAACTCCTGTAAAATGCTGGTGTGGGAGAACAGAACTGACACCTCTTTTTTTTAAATAATATTTTATTTTTCCACACTTACATGTTAAAATAATTTTTAACGTTTTAAAAAATGCTTTGAGTTCCAAATCTAATCTCTCCTTCCCTTCTTCCCCTCCTTCCTCCCTGCAACTGTAAGCAATCTGATATAGGTTATACGTGTACAATCATGTAAAATGTTTATGTATCAGTCATTTTGTAAGAAGACTTGAATAAAGAAAAAAATGTAAAAATCCATGCATATGTTTTAAAACCAAACTACATGAAATAGAAAATCTTAGTTTCATGTACAACTCCCCCTGTTCTCTTTATATGGAAATGTTCATGTTTCTTGATGCTTATCAAGTTCATAATAAATCTCTTAGAAAAATTAAAACCAGGCACTTGCTGCCTTTCCTTGTCATACCCAATCCTTGATCTCCTGTCTGATTTGAGAAAAATACGTGAAAGTAAATAGTAAAGCCTGATCCAAAAGTAATCTATCATTGTCATTCACCACCATGACGGAAACTGCTTTTTCAAAGACCAGAAATTATCCTCCAATCACCAGGTGCTATGGAATTTTTTCAATCCTTATTGAAATCTCTGCAGCATTTGATATTGTTGACCATCCCTTACTTCTTCAAACTCTTATTCTTTGACTTCCTGGGCCTTACTATTCCAATTTTTTGTGATAACTCCTCTTTATCTTTAACCCATTGTCTCCTATCTTTCAAATGTAAGCACATCCCCAAAGTTCTATTATCAGTCCCTTTCTCTCTCTATCTTCTTTCCCTTAGTAATTTATCCATCCTCATAACTTCAACTATTGCTTCTTTGCAGATGACTCCCAAGTCTTTATCTTCAGCTCTGTCCTCTCTCCCAAATTCTGATCTAGTCATTCTTTCCAGCTGCCTGATGTATATTTCCAGCTGACACCTCTTTATAGGATACATCTATATCATATCAGATTTGTGTCTGCTTAAGAAGATGTGATTTGATTTTGAGTATATAAAACAATCTATGTAAAAAATGAGTCCTGTTGTATGGAGTTCCACTATAATTATCTCTTACTTACTTAGTTTGCGGGTAAATACAGTGAGCCAAAAAAAAAAAAAAAATTAAGCACTTAACCACAGTCATAAATGTAGCTTATTTTGGTTTCATCCAAACTCACAAACCCACTGGTGAAGAATGTGATAGAAATCTGAGAGTCGATAAGTATCTAGAAGTCATACAAGCCAAACTTCTGTCTAATAGAAATACCATTTCACAAAAATAATCTTAGGTGTGAATCTGGGCATTCGAACTCAAGTCAAGAATTCCACGAAAGGTTCCTTCTAACCATTTTATTTTCTTACCGAAGGTCCATGTTCATTCTGGAGCTGAGGTGAAAAAAAGGATACCACTGATAACAATCCAGGATAAACTAGGCAGCTTATTATTGTGGAAACAACCTTGGACTTGGTATGAGAAGATCTGGGTTTGAGTCCAGATGGATGCTGCTATTTATTAGCTATGTAATCTCGGTCAAGTTAATTTCTCTGAGCCTCAGTTTCCTAATCTATATGTAAATTTTTTGTTCAGAACCAAAGATCTAATAGATTTACAGGAATCTGGTTTTGACCAGATTCAATCTAGGATCTTATCATACAAATCACACTTGTGACCCTACCCGTGGTTTCCCCTGGAAATATCAGAAGTTGGCTCATGTCTGTTTCCACCAAGAAAAAAGAATCCTGAGCACCAATGAAATCCCCAAAGCTAACAAAACGTCAAATATAGGACAGGTTCTAACCCAACAGGAAACCTTAAAGAACACTCACCTAAATCCTTCCTTCTCAGGTGGGCTTCTGTGCCTAAGCACTAATTCCCTTTCTCCATGTTGTTTTATCTCTAATGTGGCACTTAGATACCAAGTCCAAAGGTATAGTACAGGTGTATCGGTCATCTTTATGTGGTATTGGCACAGTGACGTTACTTTCTTAAGGAGACATAGGTTCCAGAACAAAATATTCATCAGTGGGAAATTTTATATTCTTTTATAATTAGACCACATGAATACCAAAATAAAGCCCTAATCAATGAGGGCAACAAAGGACTATGGGATGTGCTTAAAAGTACCTGAAACATGTAGATGGGAATAATAATGATAATTTTTGAGAATCAAATGAGAGAATGTAATGAATTCTATATTCTTGTATAAATACAATCTTTTATTTTATTATTAGTCTCATAAATTACCTGGAGAACAGACCTATGGGAAAATTTTGGTTGTTTCAGTTATTTGCAAATTTTGCTACTTCTTTCTAAAAATCCAACATTTTTGAGAACCGAGTATTAAGTCAAGCATGTCCAATCCTAGTACTATAATGCCTTTCATTACTGTTCCTTAGGTATTCTTGCATCAGTCTGTGGAGGGCTTGTCATGCTCTTACCTGAAACAAAGGGTATTGCCTTACCTGAGACGGTGGAGGATGTAGAAAAGCTTGCCAGGTATTGTATCATCATGATTGACATGATAAGTATCTTCTGTGCATATGAAAATTCTTAAAATTCATGGAAATTAAAAGCCTGGATCTCCTGAGTTTGCATATCAGCAATTACAAACACAAAGACCCAGGCAAAATCAAATATTGATGGTATATAAGTAAAAGAAGCATATTGAGAAATATAATCAGCATCATCATTTCCTAGCTACGTTACCATTGTTTTGCTTCACACCATTTGAATTTGAATTATGTTGTGCTATATTGTGTTCATATTTTATCTCTCAGTATTAAAATAGTAAATATCCTTTAAAACTAGAAACATTTTAAAAATCAGAATCCACCTCCTTATTTTAGTTTGTCAGCATATATGAAATAAATTCTTTCTCTTCCTTGATAAGAGCCCCACATTGTCATCTTATTTGCGTGACATTATTTTGGAAGATAAAACCGATAAATAATACACAGGAAATAATACACAAGAAGCCAAGCCTAGGATGTCTTCAGGGCAAAGTCATCACCTCACAACAAATAAAAATAATGCATATAAAGTACTTTGTAAACCTTAAGGCATCATGTAAGTGTGAGATGCTATTATTTTTATTAAGAGCCAGTTAGAAAGCAGCACCGAGTAGTGCCAAGAATCAGAATGACAGTATCTCAGGATGACAAGGATGCTTTTAGAAGCCCTCATTTCAAACTGTACCTGGACAGGAGTTACAGTTCCAAGCCTGTCCTTGTAGAGCTCCAGTTATGGAGGGCCTGCTACTTTCCAGAGCAGCTCATTATATTTTATGACATCTCTTATTGTTAGGAAGTTTGTTTTTTCCCCTCACCGTAAGGGAAAACTCTGGCTTTTTGCAGTTTCTACCCATTGCTGCTAGTTCTGCCTCCATGCCACTCAGAATAGTTCAAATCTTTTTCCTATATCAAGGCACATATCATGCCCCTAGGTCTTCGTTGCTCTAGCCGAAATAGTTCCAGGTCCTTCAACCAGTCTGTATATGAGATGATTTCTAGCCTCTTTCAAAATCCTGGTCACCTTCTCTTCAATGAACATTAGCTTATCAATTCCTTTCCTAATTACTCTGAAAACAAATTACTTGTCCCTCAAATTATTAAAATCATCTTTTCACCGAATTACTTTTTCATGTTACCGATACTGCTGTCTCACATTTGATGACTTTTTTGAAGCCACAAACAGCTCCGTTTTCAAACCATCTCTTTCTCAGTGAAAACAAAAAAAGACAATACACTGCACTGACAATTAGCATGTGGCCATGATCCGAAATAATTCCATATTGACTAATATGTTTGTGAAACATATTTTTCCTTTCCTCTAGTTCATGAAGTGACTTTTTAATGTGGAATCTCTTTTTTCTTCTGTGTTTTGCTAGCCCACATGTCTACAAAAGAGGCAAGAAGAAGAAAAGTCAAGTAACAAGCATTCACACTTGAGTCCTTGCCAAAGACTAAAGAAGGTATTTAGTGTGAAGTTGTACTCTAGGAACCTGGTTCCTGTCAGATATTCCTTTGAAATCAGTAAAACACAACTTGCAAGGATGTATGTTTCATTTTCAACTGCATTCTAATAATTCTATGAACAAGTTCTCTGTACTATATATTGTATTTCAAATATGATACATAGACTTTTAAAATATCCAGTGTATTTTTGTATAATATTGGAAAGAATAGGCATTTCTTTTTGGGAGAATGGGACATGTGGCCATATTAGTAAAGAACCACTTCCTTGAGCAGCTTTCACGGAGCCAAGAAATTTTCTTTGTATTGGAGTTGTTCACTTCTGATTCAAGGAGAGAAAAAGAGCTCCATGATGAATGACAAAACATGCCTGCCCCATTGTGATGAGGATTCCTCCAGCCAGTCAGGATATTCGAACAAGCAGAATTTAGGAATGGTGCTGGTGACGTGAGCAGCAATAATCTAATTCAATTCAACAAGAAAAATTTTGGGGTGACTTCATCAAAATCTGGCCAAACAATAAAAGTGCCATGTTAAAAATATTTTTAAAAGACCACAGAAGATCAAGATTTAGGAAGCCTGGTGTTGGAATCCTATGTATGTTGGACAACACTGTGCTGAGCCTTTCCCATCTCTTCTCATCTTGAACACTTGGGTTATAACATTCACCAGTTTGGTTTGTCCTTTCTCTCCTATCAGTTTCTATAAATCTTAGCTTGGTTTAGACATGCCAGTTATAAAGATCCATTTGCAATACAGGTTGATATTTTGGCTACATTGCTTATTACTCGAAGTTAACTCTGAGATTATCTAAAAACATTATTATTTTTTTCCTCCAGTGGACACCTAGAGCCAGATCTTTATTAGTCTAATGAGAAGGAACTGTGGAGGGAAAAATGGTCTTCACTACTGATGAGTTCACAGTTCTCTGCATTTTCAAAGGCTGAAGTGATTTGCATTGTATTTGTTAGGTTTGTTTCTTGGTGATAGCTATATTTAATAAGGCACAGAGATTTCTTATTCACTTCTTCCAGTTCTCACTTATTCAAGGACTGAGCCAATACTTAATGCAAAATGAAGAGTATGTACAGCCTTGCTTAAACTAATTAGCATCCAGTTTTGTAAGTGCTCTCAGAGGTCACAAAATATCCTTGAATGACATCAGGGTTTTTTGGTATGCTACTCTGTATGTTATTCTTTTGGGCTGAGTACGTACCTATTTTTCTGGGGACATGAGGTAGAGGGAAACTATAGGGCATGAGATCTAGACAATATTAGAGAGAATTTCTATTACAGTATGCCTATATAGATATAGATATAGATATATATATGTACACAACATGTGTGCTAATCACAATTGAAGCTTTTAATTCTTATATTACAACTGATTTAAGTGTTAAATGTTCATTTTATAAAATATGTCAAACAATTTGCCTTGAATTTTAGTCCTGCAGTGTGGTTTCACTAATTCATATTTGTATTGCTGTTGCCTTTTTCTCCTTAAGAGCACTAGCTTTAAGAAGACCTTAACATTTTTTAATATCACCTCTGTATCTTTAAGCTATTTTACCTCCAATAACAATAAAAAATGATAAATTGGCAAGAAAAAAATTAATAATGATTCTCTCCTCTCTTCTCACCTTTAGGAAAAATGCACAAAGCAAATTAGTATGATCAGTTTTCCCATACACCAAAATAGTTTTGCCTTTCAGTTTCTGGTCAGTAATAAACATGTCCTTGTCTAGAGATAAGGAAAAGAAGGTAAAAGCCTTTTCTTTAAACCTTTTAGGTCTTAGCTTCTGGATTCCTCTTACTTTCTAAGGTGTTTCAATAATGAACTTAATTCACAATTCTACCTTTCGTCTCATTTTGGAATATTTGTAGCTCTCAGGATTTTTCCAGCAGGGCATCTTCATCGTTGACCAGCTTTCTGCTGTCCCTAGGAAGTGACTGGCGTAGTGGAAGGATCACCACAGCCTGAAGACATGGATTCAAATCCTAGCTCTGCCTCTTACTCCTTGTGTGACCTTGGGCAAAGCACAACCTTTTAACTCTGGTTTCCTCATCTCAAAAATATATGAAGAAAGTAATTTACAAACCTTAAAGGATAAAGAAATATAAGCCATCAACCCCTATTTGGTTTGGATTCTTAGGGCATCGAGGCTTGACTGTAGATAAATTTCAAAGTGGTAGATGTCTAACATGATGTTGCTTGGTGTGTGAATTTTAAATTTAACAACTGAAAAGCTGTAATGTTTCTGGTACTATCAAACAGTATGACTTTGGGCAGGTTGCTTAATCTCTCTAAGTATTAGCATCCGCACATGGGAAATTCAGTGATCAGACTCAATGATGTCTTAAATTCCTTCCCAGTGGTAGCATTCTGCCGTTCCAAGGCTTCTCACAAAATGATTCACAACAACTACAGAATCATATAGTTTTGCATCTAGATAGGATCTTCAATACCACCTGATGCAATCCTTTAATTTTGTAGTGAAAGAAAATGAGATGGTTAGGTTAAATGACCTGCCCATAAATCACTCAAGGAGGGATGCACCCAATGTATTGTTGGCCTTCTCTGCATCTATTGATATTGTGTGGATGCTAGTGGGACACATGAGAACCCTACCTCTTTCTACATGACTGGCCCATCACCCTTTTGTCACACACCTTTACTGAGATCCTTTTAAGTCACTTCTCCTGTATAAATCCTTTTGGAAATACATTTACACCTACCTTGTGGTTTTCCATTAGAAGTTTAAGTGACCTGAAACTTTAATCTCTCAATGACATTGATATTTCATGATATCTATGAAATACATAGAACATAACTGGAAGATTACTACCTGCCTGAAAGAATAAACTTTCAAATGTCTCCACCACTATTCTGTCCGGTACAGAGGTGTACATTCACACTTGCTTTGTTGTTGTGTAGTTATTTCAGTCATGTCCATCTCTTCATCACCCCGTTTGGGGTTTTCTTGGCAAAGATACTGGAGTAGTTTTCTATTTCCTTCTCCAGTTTATTTGGTGGATGAGGAAAATGAGGCAAACAGGGTCTCACAGTAAGTGTCTCGGGCCATATTTAGACTCAGGAAGACTCATCTTCCTGACCTCACACCCAGCACTCTATCCACTGCACCACCTTGCTGCCCTTCGTGCTTGATAACCAACTGGAAAAAGGAAGTAAAGATTTCTAGTAAGATAGTTTGTAAGTAGAAGACTATTAAAACACAGTTTCAGTGGAAGTAATGGGGTGGGGTGGTGGGGGCAAGGAACGAGCAAGAAGTTGTATTTCTTTGGGGCAGGGGAAAATGTGATGGATTTTTAAAAAAAAATACAAATTACCTGAGACATTAATTAAAAACTGAAAATTTAATCTTAGGGTTTGTTCCACTTTCTACAGCCATCTTAATATCACTGCAGCATAGCATTTTTTTTTAAAAGGGGCAAACAATCTTACTTGAAAATAAATGGACAATCGTAACTATTCACATGTTGTTGCTGTTAATGATTTTGGCAGGCTTCCTAGACTTTACTCTGACCCCGGATAACATTCAGACACTTAGCTCAATATTGAATTACATTTTCCTTGCCCAGTTTACCTCACTATAGACAGATAACACTAAGTTCAGTGTTCCCTGTGCTTGGCTGAAGGAAAGTGGTTACTGACAGATATCATTTCTAAGAATAGGGCGTCTTGTCATGACCCCACATGTATGCTGATGCTTTTTAAAAATCTCTCAGTGCCAAAAGTAATGACACTAAGGATATGCGTCAAGCAGTCCTTCATTGACAAGTCGTCCGGTCATTTCAGTCTTGTCCGACTCTTTGTGACCCCATTTTGGGGGGTTTTCTTGGCAAAGATACTGGAGTGGTTTTCCATTTCCTTCTCCTGCTCATTTGACAGATGGAGAAACAGGCAAATTGGGTTAAGTGATTTGTCCAGGGTCAAACAACTAGTAAGTGTCTGAGACTGGATTTGAACTTGAATCTTCCTGACTCCTAGCCTGGTGCTCCATCCACTGTGCCACCAAGCTGCCCCACACTGGCAGGAGCAGTGGAGTAGGTGACCTATTGGGACATCTCATCCCTTTTTCAATAATTTTTATGGTCTGGTTCCTCATTCTTCAATATACAACTCCTAAGAAGTAGATCTTTCTCACTTAAGTTAGTTAACTTCAACACCATGTGGCTGGTATAGCCAGGTGAATAAGTATTCTTGACCTTTAGCTAAAGAAAAGTGACTTTAGCACAGATGAACAAGGAAGTGTAAACATTTAAAATCAGATTTTATTCTTATATTTTTTGATCTAGCATTCAAGGATAAAAAAAATTGGCTCAAGCCAAGGGAAGTAGAGAATTTATTTTTTTTTTAATAAATGTCACAGCTGAGTCTCTACTAATATGGATTCAGACAGTCAATAAGCTGGAAAGCTGGTACACAAAAAAAAAATCCCCATTAGGATGGTATCACTCACAGTCCATGATAACACCCAGAGTCTTAGTTCGATTACTGTAAATTATTTCTGAGCACATCATGTCTTCTGCCTGTGTGCTGATTACCATAAACAGTCACTGCTTCATAATTTTTTCTATCCAATTAATTTTTTTTCATTACTTCTTCAATCCAAGAAATATACTTTGATACTCGAACATAAACACCAGGTTTATTGGGCCGGGCGCAGCCAAGACCCCAAGAAGTGACGCCTTGTAAAACGTATTTGTCATTCTCAAAACATATCAGAGGTCCTCCGCTGTCACCCTGTATGGAGAAAAACACAACAATTAGTGATTGTGTGATGTTTGAGTCATAGACACTGTGCCACCTTTTAGTAGAATGACTCACACTTCCATGAGAAATGATTACCTGTATCTTTGTTTTTAGAATCTCTTTTTGCATGCTTTTAAAACGTACCCCTTTTCAGTGAAGAAATATTTTTTCAAACAGTAATTTACTGGAAGTGTACCGTATCTCTACCATAATGTTTGATGCTGAATGCTCTGCTTGTAGATTCAATGAAACTATCAGTTTGGATGTTTCACTTAAAGTAAAGATACTGTAGAAACTATCATTAAAAACTCTTCACTTCCTTCTTTGTTCTTTGCTTCTGTTAGATAAGGTCAGGCCTAGACAAAGACATGACATTGGTGAAGTCTGTCTCCAGCATGCACTCTGTCCCTTCTTTCCTAAGATACTCCCCAACCAGGCCTGCCAAAGTCTCCTGCTTCCTACTAGCTAAGATGGGGTGCATTTCTACAAGGCAAGTCCTTCCTACCAGGGGTGGGGAAACTGCAGCCTCAAGGCCACTTGTGGCCTTCTAGGTCCTTGGGGGTGGCCTTTTGACTAAGTCCAATTTTTACAGAGGAAATTCTTTCATTAACGGGATTTGTTCTGTGAAGTTTGGATTCAGTTAAAGGGCTACACTCGAGGACCTGGAGGGCCAAATGTGGCCTTAAGGCCGCAAGTTTCCCACCCTTGAGTGCTTCGCTGAACTTCCTCCTTTCCAGATCTGAGGTTCAAACAGCTAGTCTGATCCTCTCTGCCAGTGGAAGAGATCTAAAAAACCTACTCCCAGGGAACCGTTTGCCATTTTTTTCCATGCCCTTGTGGACATGATGGCCTCTATCAATGGTTTTAACACATTAATGACTGCAGGTGAAACATCAGATCTATTCCAAGCAAAACTTTTGAGCCCTCCTCAAACCACATCATGCTGGTGGCTACCTGCTTTGTCTTTACATTCCTTGCTTATAAAGTGTGTCTATATAGTGTCAGATTCTATCCAGTTGTTTTGGCTGTACAACATTATGGGAAAAGTGAGGCTGGTGTTTCTCATTGAATTGCCCAACATGGGAACCAGTGTAAGTTGTCACAGCATTCAAACCCTAGTGTAGCCTCAGATTGGCATCCACTAGCATTTTCTTACCTGGCAGCTATCCACGCCGCCACGCAAATGACCAGCACAAAGTTCGGTAGATTTCACTTTTCCATTTAAATACTCATAGCGATTACACACTCGGTTTTCAATCACAGGGAGGCTGGCTTGTTTGAGTAGACCTCTTGGAGAAGTGCCTTAGGTGAGAAAAGTAAAGAAATGGTTATCAAGTCCCAAATGTATTCACATGGAAATCTCAGGACTAACGAATCAGGAAAAAAAAATTAGGTGTTGTTATATCTGGTTTAATCAAAATGGATAAATTAATAACAAAAACAACAATAATAATAGGTGCTTATCATATGTCAGGCACTGCCAGACACTGCACCCAGAGACACGATAATATTATGTTCTATTTCATTACCCAAATGTTTCCAACGTAATGATTTTTGCCTCAATGAACAAAAAGGACAGAGGTTAATTAGTGAGAGAGAAAGTATTTTACAAATTATTATCTCATTAGATCCTCACAACAATCTTGGGAGGTAGGTGCTATTATCCTCATTTTATAGATGAGGAAATTGAGGCAGAGGTTAAGTAACTTGCCCAGAGTTATATAGCTAGTAAGTATCTGAGGTCAGATTTGAACTCAGGTGTTCCTCACTATGCATTAGTTATATTAAAAACTCCTTGTTTTATTACATTTTATTTCATTTTGAGAACAGAGTACAAGCTATACAAGGTTATATGCCCCCTCTTAATCTCAGATTCAGGAAGGGCTTCAGAGATTATGGAGACCACCTTGTACTAGAAAAAAAATCCTATCTGTCACCGCTAGGTGGTGAAGTAGATAAAGTGCCAGGTCTGGAGTCAGAAAGACCTGAATTCAAATCCAGCCTCAGACACTTACCAGCTGTGTGACCCTGGGCAAGTCACTTAACCCTGTTTGCCTCACTTTCCTCATCTGTCAAACAAGCTGGAGAAGGAAATGAAAAACTACTCTAGCATCTTTGCCAAGAAGACCCCAAAAGAGGTCATGAGAAGGTGGACATAACTAAAACAGTTAAAAATCATAAGTGGGACAAATGATTATCTAGTCTGTGCTTGAAAATTTCAAGTGAAGCAGAACCTTCTCCTAAGATAGCCCATTCCACTTTTGGAGAATTCCAGTTATTAGAGAATTTTTTCCTCCTGATATCCAGGCTAAATTGACCTCTTTTGCAACTTTCAATCTTTCTTCTAGCCTTGGGATCATATGGAGAATAAACCTAATATTCCCTTTTCTTTATGCTGTCCCTTAAAGGCAGCTGTTAGCACCCCTTCAAAGTCTCTTCTCCAGGCCAAACATCTCCTGTTCCTTCAGCTAACACTAACTTTGTACAGTAAGGAAGGGTAGGGCTCTAGTCATTATCCCAGCCACTTAAAAGTGATTGCTTTTGTTGGTTAGAGCACTTCTTGATTGAGTGAATCAGTTAGAACAGGTGTGAACAGAGTCTTTCTGTCTGCTTCCTGGTGTCACCAAATGCCTTGCCTGAGGGATCTAGTCATACCCTAAAGAATTTGTTTAAAAGGAGAATCAGATTTTTCTTTCACAACATCACTAATGTGTAAATATGTTTAATATGATCATACATGTATAGCCTATATCAGATTGTATGCCATTTTTGAGGAGGAGAGGATGGAGGGAGGAGGGAAAATTTAGAACTGAAAATCCTATAAAAGCGAATGTTGTAAACTAAAAATAAATAAATAAATTGGGAAAAAAAAAGGAAAAAAAATAAAAGGAGAATCAGATACAGTTCTGAGGGTCTAGATAAAAAAAAGGCTGGAAACACCTAATCCCACTTCTGACTCATATGGACTGTATGACTGAATAAATTATTCAACCTCTCAGTGGCCCCAGGCGATTCCTTAAGATTACAAATTACAGAGCAGTTGCTTATCTGTATTGGAAAATGGGAGTTTCCATATAGGAAGTTCCATCTACCAATGGAATCTCAAATCTG